TTGAAATTCATTGTCGCGCAAAAAGGGGAAGAGAAGAGAAGAGAAGAGAAGAGAAAAGAAACTGGCTTCTATATCAAAAAAAAAAGAAAAAAGAAGAAAAGAAAAACCGAAACGCAAAGAGGAAACGGAAATAAGGAGAGGAAAGGGGAGAAGAAAAATGAGATAGAAGCGGAGGGGGAACGTTGGAGAAAACAATTTTCGAGATATCGGACTCGTAGCCTCGAGTAGTAGCTTTTCACGTATCTTTACCTTCCACAGTCCATTGAAATCGGCCATTGAATTCCACCACCGGATTCCTCCTCCTCCCTGGGGGAGGGAGGGGAGAGAGAGAAGAGTTTCGACCGGCGGATAGGAAAAGAAAAAGTCTCCTTTCTCGATACTGGTTTCCACGGGCGCGGGCACAAAGAACGGCGAAACGACGCTCCTCCCTCCTCTATAGGGGAGGAAAACGACAATTCGAAAACGCAATTATTCGGCTAACGTATCGTTGCCCGTGCCACCTGTCGCGAAACCGAAAACCACCCCAAATAGAGAATCAGAAAAAGAAAGGGAGAGGGGGAGAAGAAAGGAAGAGAGAAATAACGTTAAAGGGTGGAAGAGAAAAGGAAAGAGAGGCGACCCTCCATTTTTCCCATTCGCCTGTACGGCCAGATGTGACGATTGCGAGGACACGAAAAAATAATTTAAAAGCGGAGAACAACGGCCGATCACTGGACGGTATATGCCAGGTGGAAAAAGGGTTCATCGCTCGAGTTTCGTTCTTTCGTTGGAGCGGCACGGCCATTGCCATCGCGGATCGTGTTTCCGGCACGGCTTTTTTTCTTTAATTATGATCGGCCGGCCTCGTCCGCGAATGGTAAATTGAATCCACGTAAAACAGCCGCGTATCGTGTTTCTCGCGCCTGTCACACGCCGATGGTTCTTAATCCCAGCCCGCTTTGTGCGGGACGGGTTTGGAAATTGAAATTTTTCCAGGGGAAAATTGACGTGACGATTGGAACGGCGAGTGACGGGGAGAAATATTGTTTTACAAGATGATTATGTTACGATGGATATATCGATCGTGGCTCGGGTGTATTTGTATTTCAATCCCGAAATGCCGCATAGAGATCTTTTCATCGGCTATAAAAGTTGTTTAACTTTTTTCCGAATAACCCAACCTCGCAACTTTGATATATACGTTCGAGATGAATTTTCCGAATTTTTCATGTGCTTTCAGAGAATCGCGATACTTGTATTACTGTAAGATTTAAAATCATAGATAGAGAACGTTAACGGTGTTTAAAAAAAGCAGATAAATTATCCATGAAATTTTATTCATTTTTCCAAGAATAATTTTCAAATAATTTTTAAATATCGAAGAAAGAACAATAATAACACGATAATAATACCGTTCACGAAATAACAATTCGATGCAACAACGAAACGGAACGGAGAACGCTCTTCCAAGATAATTCAATAACAGTAAACAGTCCAATATCAATAACAATCGAGATGAAACGTCGTTTCGTGAGAAATCTATTCCCTCGACTTCCCATCCCTAGTCGAATCGAAAGTGAAACCGTTTGGCCGTTCGAGATAGACCCGATCCGAGTAGATGGACAAAAGGACAGGCGGAAACAGAGGAAGAGATCGAGAAACGAGCGGAATGAGAGTTAATGGGAATCTCGATGGAGACGTTTCTACGGAAAGAAGGCAAAAAGACGCGCGAACGAGATTTCGGCCTTTCTAAAAACCATTGCACACAGTGGCGCCATCTCGAGACTCGCGATCGGTTGGACAGGGTTAAAAAGCAATTTTCCTTTCCCTGGCCGGCGGGATCGGACTGCATCGTGACCACGGTTACCTATCGCCTACCTCGGTTTCGACAAAGCAATTCCGATTCAATCTTCGTTGAACGGACCACGGATCGTGTCCGTGGAAAACGAGCGGCGATGCTTGGCCGCCGCTCAACAGGAAGCGCACCTGAGCGCGCGAAAAATTGAACGAGATGCGAACGGTTCCGGCCGAACGAATCGGGCGTGGACCCGATTTCAAAGCGGCGTGTAAAGGAGATTGCAATTGTTTCATTCGTGCAATTATGCTGGTTTAGGGCGCATTGCTGCATGCACTCTTCTTTATTCTTGAGCGGAGATGGGAAAATTTCTATTTCGTTAAATAGGAAGTTGGTTATTTGGAGTTAATTTTAACGAGAGAAATTTCTGAACGGGAGAAAATTTGAATATGGTAGATTATTATGGATGTATGCGAATGAAGGTGGCAATTTTGAGTGATAATTTCTATTTTAATAGTGTTCAACTGTAATTATACTGTGGAGGATAAAAGTTCATAATACGATTGCTTATAGTTAAAAACATGTGTTAAAATGTGTTATAGTTAAAAATATGGGTTAAAAACTATTATCATATAAACTATATGTCAAGATATTAAAAATCTTGTTTGTTTATTTATCTATGTCAAACACAAATACGATCCAACAACACTCAACCGAATCAACTTTGCCAAAGTATCAAAATTCCCCTAAAAAAAAAAATCCCTCTTCTCTCCAAACACACTAAACTTCCCTCTCATCGCGCGTGATATCGGATATACAAAATGTAAAATCGAAAAAAAAAAAAAAAAAAATCACGATCTCTGTGCAAAAATAAAAAAAAATTTTACAAAAATTTCATTCCATGACGTCCATTTTCCAAGCTGGCGTACATTAAACCGAATGTCGATTGTTTCCAACGTTTCGTTCGGCGACTCGCGTCTATTTATCCAACCGGAATGGAAGAAAAGAGTGAATGGATGAAAAAGAAAGAGTGCGTGGAAAAATCGGGACACGCACCGTTCGTCTACAATGGATCGCTTAGAGGAGAGAGAGAGGAGTCGTCAGCTGTCGCGATGATGTAGGCGACGTTTCGACCGTTATGATTGACAGTTTTATGGGGAACGACGAAGAACGTTTTTCGGATTTACGAGCAGAACGAAGTTTTATCGTCGTCCACGAAGAGGGGAGGGGAAGGGAGAGGGAAGGGATCAAGCGTTACACGAAGTTTTTTTGATGCTAATCGAAGCGTGATGCCGCGACAGAAGGTGGTGGTTTCGGTACGCTTGTTGTTTGTTCGAATTAGAAAGATAGACATTTGATAGGATGAATATTTTTTTAAAGAAAATTGCGGAGAATACGTTGTTTGTGAAATTTTAAGTATGAATTCCAATAATGAACGTTTGAAATATTGATTTCTTTTCTTCGTTCTCCCAATCAAAAATCTCTGACTGATTCTTCTCCTCGAATAAAATGGGAATTAAAAGATTTTTGTAATTAAATCGATCGTTGATAAATATAAGAGATTCTGATCGAAACAGAAATCTATTAGATTTAGATTGCGACAACAATATAAAGGAAAAGAAATATTAAGAAAATATGTAAAAATACGTATTCCAAGAGAATTAAAATGTTCCCTCGAGAGGTTACACATGGTCGATTCGCGCAAAATGGCGCGCGAAGAATGTCTCGAGTAAGATCCTGCATGTAGATTCACTTTTATTGCGCCAACTTGAATTCAAGGCGAAGGTTATAAATGTAAATTACTACTTTTGTTGTTTCATTGCCAGCTGTGCGATCCCTGCGTGTATCCATCAGGAACAATAGGGGGTAAAATGATGAACAGTACAAAGGGATGAAGAGTTTCGTGAAAACGAAGTTGGTATCGTATTCGTTTTGAAAAATGGCGCGATTCTTTCTTTAATTGATTTTAAGAATCGATTAAATAAAGATTTGTTACTTTCAATTGTTTATATTATCAATCAATTGCATTTTTGAGATTCGAAAAATTTAAAGTAATGCGATAAATAATGAGGTACGTTAATTATTTTTGTAAGATCGTTTAATCTTCGTTAATAATTGTGGTATTTAAGTATACCTTTTTGTCGAAGAGTATCATTTTCGTTCATAAGAGGAATTTTTTATAGGGCTCTTTTCATTTTCATAGCTACTATAGATAATACTTGATCACTCTAAGAGTGTTTTAAAGTTTTCACTGCAACTTACTTCCTTCCATCGTGAAACTTTTGAAACTGACTTTAAAAGTTATTAGACACTATGATCAGAAACTTTAATATCATATAAAATTCCAGAAATTGTCAATTATATTACCGGTAATAAACTATTTCAACGGAGGAGAGAGGATAATATTTCAGTAAAAATGATCCATTTAAAAAATAATTCAACCATGAACGAACCATTTACCAAAGTCACAGAAAATAAGCAATCTTTGCCATCTATCCACTATCAAAATATGCATTAAATATTAATAACAATAAATTTGAAATTATCAGTTAATATATTCACGAAATGAAAATTATGCAATAAAATATATCTAGTTTTTCTGAAAATCGTAAGTTTCACGAAAATTCGTATCTATATAGAATAAATACATAGAACAATTTATTTTCAACGGAAGATCTCTTTGAGGTGGTGAAATCTACCCTCAGAATTTCAGTCTTTCACGTTTTTAAATACAATTTCGCCAGAAAATATTTTTTTTACAACAGAATAATAAAGAACGTTAAATTTGAACATTTTATACATTTAAAGTTTTGCTCTATTTCATACCATCATAAAGTTTATACGCATTTAAAAAACGATGAAAACCATTAAAACTTTAAATATTCATTTCACCCTCTCAAAGTGAACAAAAATTTGCATGCATAATCTCGCGTTATAATATTTAAAACAATGCTTTTAAAACTTTTAAATCTAATACAGATATTTTTATTGGCAATTCTCAATTATTCACTTTCACCCTTCTTAATTAAATCTAATATCTTTTCCAAAATATATTGCAAATTCTACACGATTCTTTTATCCTTATATATATTAGAGATGCAATTCCAATTCATCCTCAAATAAATAAACGAAACGCAAAACAAACAGATATCTGCTCGTTTCAAAACAAACAGATACAATAGATTCTAAGAAGAGCGGATATAAATCAAAACATAATGATACTCACCTCGCAGTTGGAATGACTGATGTTGCTCAAATTCAGCCTGAACACTTTGTCCCTGTAACAAACGGAAGAAAAAAAGGGAAAAAATGAAAATCGAACGTAATACAAGAATTTAATTCAAGGCCGAAAGCCAGCCACTCGTTGCATAAATTTTCATTCCATTCGAGTGAGGATACATTACACTTTACTCTCGCCTTATCTACACCCACGGTTATGTACGGTTGTGCAGGGGCGTGTGCCACTTTGCTTACGTCGTTTCGCCCCGTGGTAGAACGCCACGGAATTTCTACGAGCATCGAAAAAGGAGGTACACCCTCGTCTTACTCCCTCTCCAAGGACCCCTAACTTTCTTCGTTCGTTTCCGTTCCATCGCTTGCTTTTTATTAGGATTTCCTCCTTTGAGGCACGATCCGGCTTGTTCGGAGGATATCGAACGAAAAAAAAAAAGAAAAAGAAATACGCGTGCACGGCCGTGTAATAAAGAACGAAGGTAACGAGGGATTTCCTTGGCAACTTTTTCCCCTGTTCAGCGAATACGACTCGCCCCCTCGGCGAGATTGCGGGGTAGGGTTAGAGAGAGAGAGAGAGAGAGAGAGAGAGAGAGAGAGAGAGAGAGAGAGAGAGAAGCGTTTCGTCGTTAGTTAGAATGTTTTGCTGATGGTATGCAACAGGCTGATGTCTGTTGAAATAGAGTGTCATGGAGTTTCGTTATCGATGGATGGTTAATTATTCATTCCATTGATAATGGTATCAATTATTGATTCAAATATTTCTGATTTTATTGTATAAATATCAACGAAAGTGTTATTATATATTTATCTCCTTAGTTCTTTTCTTTTTAGATACTATTTGATAAATAATATTTTGCAAACTGAAGAAAGTAAAATATCAATAAAATAATGTATATTTTTTTTACAGTGTGACATTTGTTCGAATTGATAAAATGGAGGATAAATTACATTATTTTTCTCATTATGGAAGGGAATAAAAATGTCACGATTTAAGATAATGACAAAAAAAAGAAAAAGAAAAGAAATTCGTCGATGATCTCACACTAACCTTTTCACATTTATATGGGTGTGAACGATGTGTTCCTTTGAACGACTCATCGCCAGGGAATTTAGAACGATCGAAGAGCAAGCTGGTTCGATTACACAGAGCTCGTAGGCGTGTTTAATCTTCCACCACGTTTTCCCGATCTTCTTCCCTAAAGATCCTACGAATCATTCGAAACGAGGAAACTCTTAGCCGGCTGACCCAGAAATTGGAAACGGAAGAGCTTTGAGTTTCCGTGCTTCCTTTCCTCCATGACCACGATATTTCAGGAAAAAAGTTATCTCAGGAGGCTATAATTTATCAATTTCAAAGACGAAATAATAATTGATATTATAAAAGGATCGTACGTTCGATCGAATTTATCAAAAACGATTCGAAATTTGTTATTCAAAAATTAATATTTTTCTCTCATTTAAATAAAACTATATAACAAATCCTAGCAACAATTGAGGAATAAATAATTGTTTCGTCTCATATTAAAGCCACAATTCTGAGATTACTTTTTATTGAGATTGATTTGCATAAAATAACCGTGTATAGAAAAATCTCGTCCAAAAATACACTAAGAATATTTTATCCAAACCACTAATCCTCACAAAAGTTATACCTGTCGAAAAGTATCGATTCGGAACCAATAATACGATTTCCTGCTACATTTAATCGACCACGGGGTGAAAACAAAAGTGTTTTCGAACGAGATGTTAACGCGGCGCAATGGTAGAAAATCGTGTTCACCCAGTTTCGAAACGTTTCGCAACATTAGCATCGGCATAACTTTATTCCAATAACCATTCGTCATTGGGCTTAGATGGAAAAGAAACGCGCTCGTTCGAATGGAATGCGAGGAAGGAGGGGATGAAGAAAAGGAAAATGAAAAAAAAAAGAAAGAAAAAGGAGAAGAGAAAGGAAGGAAGAAAGGGAGAAATAAGGGTGAGAGAGGCAAGTCGTCGTCGGTTCACCCTTCGAGCTTTCCTTCCTCATTCATCCTGTGCACGCCGGCGTGAAAAAGTAAATAGCGACGTGGAAAAACAAATCCGCAGTTTGGAATCCCGGCCGCGTCGACTTCTTCTCAGCATGGAGAGGGGAGGAGAGGAGGAGAGGAAGCTTCTCGAAGGGCTGAGGAGTGGAGCAGGTGAATGGGAAAGGCGGGTCGTGAGCGTTGTACGTGCGAGCTCGAGACGAGCGGAAGGAAGGGTGGGAAAAAAATTTGTACGGGGAGCAATTTGCGGGGTTGATCGATGGCGGCGGGTGCGCGAGCGTGAAGTCATCGTGTTCTCGATTTAAAAAAAAAAAAAAACCGCCCAGTCAGCTTCGAAATGCCGGACATCCACCGATCTCTTCCGTGAAGAATTTCTAACCTTCCCTCCCCCTAAATTCGCCCTCAGGAGTGAGTTACTTGCAGGAATTTCGATGGAATCGTAGGTGGATACGATCTTTTCGCTAATTGAATTCTTTTTTTTTTTTTTAGGAGGGAGAGTTGTTATAGATTGCGTTGAATTGCGCACAATTAATACAATTAATAGAGATTGTCAAGAGAAATGTCAAGAGAAACAATGTGATGGAAACATTGGTATGCATGAAATTTGTATGTCTATTTGTTGTAGGTTTTGAAAGAGCAAATATTTTCATAAATTGTTGGTTTTTAATTTTTCAAAACTGAATGGTTGCGGTTGGAAATAAATATGGAGAATTTTTAGAATAACAAAATAGAGAATTTTCTGTGGTTTTTAATGGGCACAAGCAAACGGAAATATGGAAATAAGAAATGATATTTTTAATTCGGTGGCCGCATTAGGCCTAAGTGATGAACGATAAAGGAATAAATATTTCAAGGTGGTTGGAACAAGAGGGATAAGCAACGTACTCGACAAACTTGGAAATCTGTTAGATAGTAAATCAGAAAAGCGTCGCTGTCTGACTTGGTGTTGCGCTTGATAGACAGCACCGAACTGCGATGCATTATCCGACGCGTCGAGATCCACTTTCCATCTTCTCCCTTAAATTTTCGATGGTGAAACGCGTGTCAAGAAAGAGGGATCGTTGCTATTAACATCGAAAATTTTGCCAAGAATAATAACGTATAATGGGTCGATTTTAATAATTTTTACGACACGAATCAGAGAAGTATAACGGTATACTTTATATCTTATGATGATGATGATTGTATATAGAAATGGCACCAAAAATTAAGCTTTTAAGCTTTCGACGATACAGAATGTTATGTACTGCGTGAAATATTTTTTTTATATGGATTATACTTTGATAATTGTTTGCCTTAATAATAAATTGATACAAGTTTAAAATTGAAGAAAGAGTTTTATTATATCGTAAGAAAGGATAAGATTGTGAAAGAAAATTTAAGGAACGATGTAAAGTTACAAGAATCTCTCTAAATTTAAGAAAGAAAAAATTAAATGATAATATTTTTAGAAATGCTGCAATTTTATCTTGAATATAATGTAATTAAGATCGCAATTTCAATTTGAGAATAAATCGTATTCGAATCGATCGATTTCAAAATTTATAAAATTAATTAAAAAATGAAGCAAACTCGACTCTTTATTAAATTCCTCTTCATGACATTTTTCCCTTTTTTTCTCCTGATTTTCAAGTATACACATTGATTATTAATTTAATAACTTTTACTTGCTTAAAAGAAGAAAGAAAAAGGAAACTTGGAATTCTCTGTTCATGACTGAAACGATCCAATATCCTTCGTCGTAACTTAAAATCGTATGGCATATTAAAACCCTCGAACCAAAAGAGTTTTATCTCACGCAATCTGTATATATATACGAAAAATTTAATTCAAACCACGAACAGAATAGAATAAATTTTAAAAGAGATTTACGTCTACAAATTTACGTCACAATAAAAATCCTCTTCGTTTAAAGCAATGATAAATATACCTTTGCAATAACGAAGTCCACCATTTTAAACATATCAATAGATCTCGAATGTTTATACAAAAATATTATATTTTTAATATTATACATTTATCCTATATATTTTACGTAAATAAATACAGAGTGTTCAAAAAATTAAATGGAATGATTCTTCAAACTAACATAAAACGAAAATCAAGAACGAAAATAAATCGATTCTGTTTCGAGTTATGAAAAATCCATAAATGTATCCATGACACGTATGAATATCCTAAAATTTGTCTAAGTAAGTACAAAAAAGAATTTATTACAGATATATCATAGAAGATCCACGTTATCTATGTTAACAATGTTAAATATCTAAAAGACGAGAGAGCGAAGAATATTTAATAGTTCATCGAAACGATCATCACGGTCCCTGATGTGCAACAATATATCGATTCCAATCGATTCATAGGTGTATTACGGTGTATCAATTGCTGAAACGCTCGACTCCGATCATGCATGAAATCTAATCACATCCGTCGGATTTCGATTGATTCGCTAAATGCGTTTACCGTGTTTCCAGAATCGCGCCGCGCCGCTGCCCGTTTAATTATGTAAAATATAGCAGCATCGCTTAACGTTATGTACTTCGACGACGAGAATTTTAAATCGATTAAAACGATTCTATTTATGCTGCGTGTAATATTTAATTTTTATAATTAGGGCTGTGTGTAAATATATACATTAATTATCACTTTTGTGATAAAAAAAAATATATATATATATTGCCACGAATATACGACGAATTGCAATTGAAAAATTTTTTTTTTTTTAGAGAAGAAAATTTCCAAAGTAAGACTATTATTTTGTTTACTGTGAAAATTAAATTAATTATTCCCTCAATGAATCCACAGCGATAATAGAGATTTTTGAAACGATCTAAGAGGATCAGAATAAGTTTCCATTGTTTCAAATGTAAAATTAATTTCTAGAATATTATCAAGTCTTATTTTCTATTAAGAGGTGTTCCTCGTGTACTTCTAACTCGATACGCTAATAAGATATGTTGAATTAGAATAGACGAACCGTGACGAGCCCGGGACTGTGAATTGGACTCTATTCGATGAAC